TTTACTTTATCCTGGGCTCCGGGGGGCCCAATTTCGAATCCCAACCCAAGGCCCCCCCCCCCCCCCTCACTTCGCTTCCTGTCAGCTCTGATCTGTCCTATCATACTAAACGTGAAAATAAGGTCTAAAATATGCAAAGTGGTGTAAGTATATATTTAATGACCGCATAAGTTTCAACTGATGCTCTCGTTTTACTTTCTTAATTTCCAAACTAGAAATAAATGTGTTGGATGCTTCAATTGAGAACACGCACTGATGACAAAGAGATGTCATCTATAGATGTTCGGTGACAGGACTGCAATTCCCTAAACATTCTCAACATTCTTTGGTTCGTCCACATTATTGTGGTATTTACAGCTTCTATTGTAATAACAGTCCTTCAGCTGAGCTCATTGCCCTAATTATGGACCATTATATGGTTTGCTCTTGACATACAAAAGCAATATTTTAAAATACCACTTAAAGAATTTACTTTGGTAGTCTTCTGGTAAACTCTTTTTCATATTAGCATTTTTCATTTTCTCATTTCTTTTGCATTGGTATCTAATGTAATTGCCTTCGTGGTATGAAAATGGGAGAATTTAAGCCCCAGGGATGTCGCCGGGCTCGGGAAGTGTTTTACATTTTTCCATTGTAGAGACCAAGCCGTGAATCAGCATGACAACATGGATACACCACCAGTCTTGTGAAGCTGCCCATCTCTCATAGTGAAAGCATTTGTGTGGCATGGATTTGACAAATTAGTAAGCATTCATTTCTTCTATTAAAGGGATAGTTCACCCAAAAAATGAATTTCTGTCATCATTCACTTACACAAGTTGTTCCAAACACAAAATATATTTTTGAAGAATGTTGGTAAGTCACCAATTTCTGTTCCCTATTGACTTCCAGTATTTTTTTTCCATACTATGGAAGCCAATGGGGACCTGCAACTGTTTGGTTACTGTCATTCTTCAAAATATCGTCTTTTATGTTCAGCTAAAGAGAGAAATTCAAACGGGTAAATGATGACAGTACTTTTATTTTTGGGTGAACTATCCCTTTAAGTGACATTGTGGTGGTCCACATGACACATGATCCATTAGAATGTGTTATAATGACGAATTTGGTTTCTATTGTCTGAAAATGAAATCGTGACTGTCCTGCTATGTAATTTCCACCATAACAAAAGTTTAAACACTGGCTACTAAGGGCACAAACATGTCAGTGAAATAAATTATTAATAATTATGTGAAGAGTGTAAAAGAAATCATCTAATTAGGTGTGATTAGTATAACTACAATTCTAGCTCTTAAATTTCTCATAGATAGTTTTCAAACAAAAGAGTTACAACTTCCATAATTTTCACCACAGTTGTGAATGACATGCATGCAATTAGTATCCATAGTTGAAGAACTACCTTTCTATACACACAATCCACACTCTGATTGAGGATTTACAGTTTCATTCAAGATCTTTACAATCTGGACCTGATCTAATCTGAAGGATTTTATTACTTAAGAAGTCACTTTTTCTTTGTGTCTGCTGATAGAGAGATAAACGGATTGTAGTACCAGTGCTTTAAAGATGAACAGTTTGTTGTCATACAACAAACAGAAGCTATTGCATTGAAAATACTGGTAATTAGAGAGCAAATAAGCAGGGTTATGTGTGGTATCTCACCTGTACAGGGTTTCCATGGTACTACGGTCACACTCTTCGTCCGTGGCAGAAGCAGCAGAAACAACTGCAGTGCAAGTAGCCATGATGATGGCACCAAGTTATGCTGTCCTTCCATTAGTTGTTGATTTGCCGATAAAAATGTCCTTACAAACTCTTGATTGGCCACAAAAATGTCCAAAACATGAAATTCATAAAGTTGTCTGCTGGTCAAGATGCCTTTATGTTCTGTATTCTTTGTTCCTTGGACTGTCCAGAATAGGGTCTGTCCATCATTGTTTAATTTTAATTAAAGAATCCGTTCAACGCCAATGAGCCATTAGCTGCTTCTTCGTGATTTCTTTAAAAAAAATCACAAATACACGCAAATAGCAAGCACTGGGTACTGTTTCAATACACAATACAAACTAAACTGTTCTTCTGTATTTCTTCTCAGAAAAGTCCTTCCTCATCCACTTAAATGTTAATCATTTACAAGCAGGTCAAACGAGTCTGAAAGCTGTAATCAAAGTCCTGAACATCCACAAGCCTGTGCTTTTCCTCTCTTCTTCCCTTTTGCTCAGGTGCGCAGAGGCGTCCACAAAGCAGCAGTTAATTCACCTGTCACCTGCAGGGTCAGAGGAGCATGTTAACAGATCACAACTACAACTGAGAGCTCAAGGGGCAAAAGCGGTGTATTTAGAGAGACATTCAAATGAAACCATGTCAACACACGAGAGGAGGGGCTCAGAAGGAGGTACAGAGGGCTGAGAGAAAGGCAGACAGACAGAGAGAGAGAGAGATTTCCTGCGGTCCTAATCTCAGTATTTCATTGCTTCATAACCTCTGTCTCTCTCTGTGTCTCTGTTTTATTTTCTGCCTCTGGGTGGAGTCCCTCTCTGTGCCCTGATCTGGTTCTCAGTCTCACTTTTTGTTTTGTTTTTCTTGTTGACCTTTGCTGATCTGCACTCAAAACTCTCCTTACCAACATGTAAGTGTACATCTTAAAAAATGTGTTGTTACACAGCAAACAACTACTTTCTTAATTGTTCCAAATTTTTTTTGCAAGAAATTATTTGAGATGCATCATTGTATATTAAAATTTTTAACATATTATAACACATTTTGAATTGGCCATAATTTGTAAGTGCAAACCTAATTACTTTCAAGTCAAGTCACCTTTATGTAGCGCTTTATACAATACAGATTGTTTCAAAGCAGCTTCACAGTAATAAACAGGAAAATGACAATCAATTATGCAAACTTCATCAAATATGAGACAAATTCAAACTGTGAGGCAAAGCAGCTCTTAAAAGTAAATGGCTCGAGTCAGTTCAGTTCAATATGCAAAGTTTATCAATTATGAAACAAGTTCATTTCAACGTTCCCATTAGTTACATTTGTAACCATGGACCACAAAGCCGTATTCTTAAGTCGCTTGAGTATATTTATAGCAATAGCCAAAAAAACATTGTATGGGTCAAAATTATAGATTTTTCTTGTATGCCAAAAATCATTAGGATATTAAGATCATGTTCCATGAAGATATTTTGTACATTTCCAACTGATTGGCCACAAAAATGTCCAAAACATGAAATTCATAAAGTTGTCTGCTGGTCAAGATGCCTTTATGTTCTGTATTCTTTGTTCCTTGGACTGTCCAGAATAGGGTCTGTCCATCATTGTTTAATTTTAATTAAAGAATCCGTTCAACGCCAATGAGCCATTAGCTGCTTCTTCGTGATTTCTTTAAAAAAAATCACAAATACACGCAAATAGCAAGCACTGGGTACTGTTTCAATACACAATACAAACTAAACTGTTCTTCTGTATTTCTTCTCAGAAAAGTCCTTCCTCATCCACTTAAATGTTAATCATTTACAAGCAGGTCAAACGAGTCTGAAAGCTGTAATCAAAGTCCTGAACATCCACAAGCCTGTGCTTTTCCTCTCTTCTTCCCTTTTGCTCAGGTGCGCAGAGGCGTCCACAAAGCAGCAGTTAATTCACCTGTCACCTGCAGGGTCAGAGGAGCATGTTAACGGATCACAACTACAACTGAGAGCTCAAGGGGCAAAAGCGGTGTATTTAGAGAGACATTCAAATGAAACCATGTCAACACACGAGAGGAGGGGCTCAGAAGGAGGTACAGAGGGCTGAGAGAAAGGCAGACAGACAGAGAGAGAGAGAGATTTCCTGCGGTCCTAATCTCAGTATTTCATTGCTTCATAACCTCTGTCTCTCTCTGTGTCTCTGTTTTATTTTCTGCCTCTGGGTGGAGTCCCTCTCTGTGCCCTGATCTGGTTCTCAGTCTCACTTTTTGTTTTGTTTTTCTTGTTGACCTTTGCTGATCTGCACTCAAAACTCTCCTTACCAACATGTAAGTGTACATCTTAAAAAATGTGTTGTTACACAGCAAACAACTACTTTCTTAATTGTTCCAAATTTTTTTTGCAAGAAATTATTTGAGATGCATCATTGTATATTAAAATTTTTAACATATTATTACACATTTTGAATTGGCCATAATTTGTAAGTGCAAACCTAATTACTTTCAAGTCAAGTCACCTTTATGTAGCGCTTTATACAATACAGATTGTTTCAAAGCAGCTTCACAGTAATAAACAGGAAAATGACAATCAATTATGCAAACTTCATCAAATATGAGACAAATTCAAACTGTGAGGCAAAGCAGCTCTTAAAAGTAAATGGCTCGAGTCAGTTCAGTTCAATATGCAAAGTTTATCAATTATGAAACAAGTTCATTTCAACGTTCCCATTAGTTACATTTGTGACCATGGACCACAAAGTCTTCTTAAGTCGCTTGAGTATATTTTTAGCAATAGCCAAAAAAACATCGTATGGGTCAAAATTATAGATTTTTCTTGTATGCCAAAAATCATTAGGATATTAAGATCATGTTCCATGAAGATATTTTGTACATTTCCTACTGTAAATATATCAAAACATATTTTTTGATTAGTAATATGCATTGCTAAGAACTTCATTTGGACCACTTTAAAGGTGATTTTCTCAATATTTTGATTTTTTTTTTTTTTGCACCTGCAGATATTCAAATAGTTGTATCTCTGCCAAATATTGTCCTATCCTAACAATACCATACATCAGTGGAAAGCTTATTTATTCAGATTTCAGATGATTTATAAATCTCAATTTTAAAAAATTGACCCTTATGACTGGTTTTGTGGTCCAGAAATGTTATTTCTTAATATTCCTATATATATATATATATATAACTAATTGGTGTGAATTCATAATATTATTTTTTTCATACAATTTGCTTAAGCTCCATTAAAGTTGGTTTAGGGGCTTTAGACGTGGACTTTCATGCTTTATTTTCTAAACATCATACATTTTGTACAATTTAAAATTTTACAAATTCAATTTGAAGTGCAAGCAGGGATAGCTAAAGATGACTTTTTGCAAATTAAATTTAGAGTTTAAGATTTTAATTAAATATTTGTGATCAAGTATGAAAAATTGAAAATGTAGATTACAATTAAATGTCATTTAAAAAACCAAAAAAAAGAATTGTGTATTAAGATTGATGTTTGATATTTAGCAGTTTTAAAAGTTACATCTAATTTTTTTTTTTTTTTTGATGGCCAAATTGTCACCACCAATTGATATCTGACAATATTTGACAAAGATTTAAGTTAGTTTTACATTTTTGATGGCCAGATTGCTACCCCCAATATCTGACAAAAAGTTTTGAAAATTGTTTTACTTTTACATTTTTAATGGCTACATTGTTGCCCTCCAATATTTGAAATTTGACAATATTTGACAAGAAGTTTTGAAAGATACATTGATGGCCATATTGTTGTCCCCAATATTTCATATTTGACAATATTTGACAATGTTTTAAAGTTACATTTGTTATCTTTACACTTTTAACGGTCAAATTGTCTCCCCCAATTTAATATTCAATATTTTAACCAAAAAAAAAAGTTAAAAGTTATACTTTTTTTTTTTGTCACTACACTTTTAATGATGAAATTATCACGCCCAGTTTGATGTTTGACAATATTTTACCTTTTTTTTTTTTTAAGTTGAACAAACGTTTTTTCTATTAATCAAAGAATCCTGAAAAACAAAATCATGCTTTCCACAAAAATATTAAGGAGCACAGTTGTTTTTAACATTGATAATAGCAAGAAATGTTTCCAGAGCACCAAATCAGCATATTTCAATGATTTCTGAAGGATCATGTGACACTGAAGACTGGATTAATGATGATGAAAATTCAGCTTTGCATCACAGGAATAAATTATATTTTAAAATATACTAAAATAGAAAAGTTATTTTAAATTGTAAAAATATTTCAACAATGCTGTTGTTATTTTTACTGTATTTTGAATTTTAAAAACATAGCCTTGGTTAGCATTCTTCCAAAAACATTTTAAAAAATCTTACACGCCTTTGAACAGTAGTGTTTTAAATAGTTTTGTGCTTTAAAAAAGTTCTACAGGGCAAGTCAAATGAGTTTTGTCAAAGCAAACTAAGCTGAAATGAAATGCATAATTTCCCCAAATTGGTAGTTTACCCCACTTTACCCTACTACTAAATTATCTTTAATTATTCAATTAATCAACATTGGAATTTTTTTCCCCCACATATTTGACATTTGCCTTCTAATGCACAATTTTTTTCCCCATGTGCGCTAAGGCAACATCAAAAGTGTACAATTAAAATAATATTATTTGCAAACCATTAAATCCGATTACAAAAAAAAAAACTTATTTTAATGTTCTTAATTAATTCTCTTTATACCCATAATCTATTTAAATCATTTACTTTAATTCCTTTAAATAAAAAAGACCAGTCTTTTAAATATAGAACACAACCTCTCAAAAAAGGTCCCTCCCAATGTCCAAGACATGGTTAAGTGGGTGAGTTCTTGTAAGTGTACATAAAACTTTACAAAAGCATCCTGTGAACCATATATGGAATCAAACGTAAATAAGACGACTCATTACAAATTAACTAGCATTCTGTTGGTTGATGCAGGTCAGCTTTGGAAGCAATTACAGATTTGTGCACATTAATATAAAAATAACTGAAGGGGTTCATAAATCACAAACATTTATTGATTTTATTGGCTTTACAATCCTTGAGAACAGATGAAAAGCAAAAAGTCAAATACAGAATTTAATGATTTTTTTAAAGTAATGATGGTGTAAATCCAACAATTATTTTGGTCTGTCTTTCTGCAGAAGGCTGGATGATTCCAGCTTGTTACTACTGAATCTAAAAACCTCCATAAAAGTAAAAAGCCACAGTGAAAACCACTGAACTATCTGTGCATTACCAAATTTCAAAACATTTTCATATTAAATGTAATCAAATGTATTTAATTAGAACATTTATTACATTTGCATCCATAGACATGATCCTTTTCCTTATTTCTAAAATATCATTAATAGAATCTGGAAGTGGATGTGATAGTCTCAGTCACTGCCTCACGATGCATTTTATTAGACTGAGGCATTAAAGCATGCATCAGCAGACTGTCAGCAAACCGAAGCTGCATTCCGTTGCTTAACTATGGACAGGTAACAGGCATGACAGACAAACCGGCAGCCCAAAATGGCTGTGAATAACTGGTTTGTGTACTTATTCAGTGAATGATGCTTGGCTCTCTTTTAGAACACTGTCTGGTGAATGTATGTCACTTTACCTTCTTCATCAAAAGCCATTTGTCCAACGCATCCACCCAATCACAGGAGAGGGGAGGACTGGGAAGAGAGAATGAAAGCCTGGATGGGAATAAAGTGCTCACACTGGTGGAGGTAGGGGGTAGTACACTACAACACTCAGGACAGACACTCTTCTCTTCTGTGGGGAGTTTGATTCTTGTAAATGTCAATCCTTACTGTCCTGGAGTGTGAGAGTGTGTCAGAGGCTCAGAGATTTGCGCACGATCTGCTTAGCTAGTCGGCTGAACTGCTCTCTGTCCTCACGCCACATCTTTGAGGCGTCCACGTTTGCTCCGCTCTCATCGTTGGGCTCTGTTGGAGTAGATCATATTTACAATTATTTAAGGACAGGCTAGGATGTAAATTATAAAAGGTATTAAAGGTGACCAGGTCAGTCTTGACGTCAGTCTCAGGGTTGCGTGAACTACAAACTGGACTCTAGTGAACCTGTTGCAGATGAAATTGTTCAAGAATGGTTTGACGCATGGTGGAGTGAGGAGGGAGTGAATGAGAGAGGTGTGTGTCATATTAGTTCTTCTTTGAAAGCTGTTGTGGTCTCACGTCTGACCCTGAGGCTGAGCTGTGCTTTGAGCTCCATTTATGTTTCATTATCAGCACTGTGTGTGAAGTATCAGACATGTTTAGACAGGGAAACTCAGCAGCTAACTGCAAGGTTTGTGTTTCCATTGATGAGATTCCAGAAGAGATGGACAGTCTTGTTCTTATTTTGATTTGTTCAGTGGAGTAACAAGTCTGTTTTGATAGGATTGTGGGCAGAGGAAATAAAATGTGAATAATAAATATAACTGGGTGTCATTTAGGATCGCAAAATATTAGCAGAATTAAGAAAATGCTTCGAATACACAATTTTGAGAGAGTTGGGTCTCCACTTGATGTAAAATCTGGGTCTTGAAGTTAAGAACCACTGCAAGTTGTTTGTAAAAGTTTTATAGCATGCATTTTATCAATTATTTAATTTTAGTTAAGTTTTGAAACCATATTTTGTTTCAGTTGTGTCCATATTTTTAGTTAATTTAACAATTACATTAAATTTATTAATTACATGTTCATTTGTAGTTTTTAGTAATTTGTCATTTTAATTGAGTTCATTTTGTGTTGTGTGAATGTCCACGCAGTTAGTGGGAATTCATCAGTGTAGACATGAGAGAGATCTGAAGAAAGCGAATGTGAGAGTAGGTGCTTTGTCGGCAATGACAGCAAAGTCATCATATTTGACATTCAATTACAGTAATGTGTGGGAGGTGATCATAGCGCTGTCAATAAAGGCAACCTGCAGTCTCTATATGCAGATGGTGAAGCAGATACAGGGAAGCAGCTGTCCTATAATGAGCCCCATCAGCTGATACGCCATTAAGAATAACAAGAGTTAATCCAGCCTCTGATGCGGTCAGATTCTGCAAATCCTGATTGAGCTCCGCCAAATCAAACACGTTTGATATCCACCTCGAGTTCACTGGAAAATTGTTCTGTGATCACGTGCGCTGACATTCGTTTTTCATTCGTCCTTTTTTCTTTTTCTATTTTTTAATTAATAGTTTTATTCAGCAAGGTCACATCAGATTGATCAAACGTTTTTTCTATTAATCAAAGAATCCTGAAAAACAAAATCATGCTTTCCACAAAAATATTAAGGAGCACAGTTGTTTTTAACATTGATAATAGCAAGAAATGTTTCCAGAGCACCAAATCAGCATATTTCAATGATTTCTGAAGGATCATGTGACACTGAAGACTTGATTAATGATGATGAAAATTCAGCTTTGCATCACAGGAATAAATTATATTTTAAAATATACTAAAATAGAAAAGTTATTTTAAATTGTAAAAATATTCCACAATGCTGTTGTTGTTTTTACTGTATTTTGAATTTTAAAAACATAGCCTTGGTTAGCAATCTTCCAAAAACATTAAAAAAAATCTTACAAGCCTTTGAACAGTAGTGTTTTAAATAGTTTTGTGCTTTAAAAAAAGTTCTACAGGGCAAGTCAAATGAGTTTTGTCAAAGCAAACTAAGCTGAAATGAAATGCATAATTTCCCCAAATTGGTAGTTTACCCCACTTTACCCTACTCTTGTAGGAATTAATCAACATTGCAATTTTTTTCCCCCACATATTTGACATTTGCCTTCTAATGCACAATTTTTTCCCCCATGTGTGCTAAAGCCACATCAAAAGTGTACAGGAAGCAATTACAGATTTGTGCACATTAATATAAAAATAACTGAAGGGGTTCATAAATCGGCCTGTGTCTTTAAATGCAAATGAGCTGCTGCTCCCCGCCCCCTTTTCCAGAATAGAGCTGCGCCATTACAGCTCGTATCTAAAAAAAAAAATCTGTTTTGGTTATGATTATCATGTTTATCGCATGTGTTTTAAACCATACGAGTTTAAACTTCAGATATACGGTTTTCTGAGAACACACATCCGAAGCACACGGACAGAAAGCGGCTGTCACAGCAAGCGAGTACTAAACTAAGTTCTCATTCACACACAAGCTTACGTTAAAAACACACGAGTTACAAAAACAGTCGGTTATGTCTGTGAAGGAAAACAGTTGGGAAATAAATAGCTTGTTTATTTTTGATCTGTGTGGCAGCTGCAGTATACAGTAAATACATTAATAAATCCACTGCTCTGCTGTCTCCTCTGAGGCTGGGACTCTAAACAGTGTTCTGTGCTCATTTGTGCAGCCAAAGGCAGAACAGTTAGCATGTTTTGCTCAAACTTTCGCCATAGCATTAGAACTGGTACACCGTTGTCGCTTGCGAAATCAAAATGACGGCGCCTTGAGTGGAAGTTTACAGATTTAGGGGCGGTAATATTATAATGAGATCCCTTTGCCACGTCACCAAGGGAGCGAAATCAGACTCGCTCGTTTTCTCAGACGCTTGCAGAAAAAGGCTTACCTAAACAAAGTGATTGGGTTAATCTTTTTTTACGTTTCCTTGGTCGGTAGATGCACCAGGGACCTGATTATAGCACTTAAAACCTGGAAAAGTCAGATTTTCATGATATGTCACCTTTTTAAACATTTAAAATCTAGTATTTACTACCAGCACTAGTTCTCAAATTTCTCACTAAGCACGTTTCCATTACCCTTCAAATTGCGCAAACTTGAAATTGCGAATTGAAAATACACCTAATGGAATCGCAGCAAAAACGCTCTTTTACGCTCACATGAGGTAGTTTTTCAGGCAATTCGAAAAAGGAATATATCGCAAAACTGCAACGGAAACCGTTTTTTTCACATTGATCGCGGCCACTCTAGTGCTTGTGTTAATACCGGCTCTCCGTGCTGCTTTGCTAAAAATACACATCTACGTCTTCATCAATTAAAAATAATGGCTAGTGCAGTGGCTGCGGTATACATAAACCTAGCAACATCGGTCGTCATGACTTATTGCAAGAGGAAAAAAATTAAGTTTCAGTCGCATAATATCGGTTAACCGAAACGTCATCATTTCACAATAGTTTTTTTTATCGACATATCGCAAAAAAATTTTTGCAAATCTGTAATGGAAAGGCACATTACCTACTACTGTCACCGTGGTCAGACTCTATACTATTTTTGTTAAAAAGCAAAACTAGATTTTAGGCCGAATGTGGAACAACAAGAGGATGAGTAAATTAAGTCAATGTCATGGTGATAAAGGGAATCAGTCATGACTGTCTTTACTTTCCTTGTGCCATGCTGGGTAACATTTATCTTTTTTCCATATTTATATGTTTAGAAGTTTGGGTATAGGAAAGATTATTATTTTTTTTTTTTGAAAGAAGTATCTTTTGCATTTATTTGATCAGAAAAACCGCTATACTGTGAAATATTATTACAATTTAAAATGCATGTTATTTTTTTAAATATGTTTTAAAATGTCATTTATTCCTGTGATGGCAAATCTGAATTTTCAGCATCATCACACCAGTCTTTAATCACATGATCCTTCGGAAATCATTGTAATATGCTGATTTTGCTGCTCAGGAAACGCTTGTTGTTATTATCAATGTTGCCAAAAACATGTGTATGGAACTATTTTTTAAATGATTCTTTATTGAACAAAGTTCAAAGACTGCATATATTTAAAAATGTAGAAGTATTTACTTGAATGCACCCTTGCTAAATACAAGTATTCATTTCTTTTTAAAAAAATCTTACCGACCACAAACTCTGACAACAGAAATAGATAGTCTGACTGCATTTTCCCTTTCCAGAGAGAAAATCAGTATTAAACAAGGTCCCACTTTATATTAAGTGGCCTTAACTACTATGTACTTACATTTAAATTTATAATTTGGTACAATGCACTTATTGTGTACATACATGCTTTTACATTGTACTTATATTTAAAAAAATACCTGCATGTAATTACATCTGTAATTGATTTCTGTAATTACATTTATAATTACACTGTTGACCCATCCCTTACACCTTAACCCAACCTTAATCCTCCCCATACCACCAAACCTGTCCCTAACCTTACCCGTTTCCCACCTCAATAGCAGCAAAAGTGTTTTGCAATACAATAAGTACACTGTACTTATTTTTTTGATGTAAGTACATAGTAGTTAAGGCCACTTAATATAAAGTAGGACCTTAAACAATAACACAATACAAACATCGTAAAATAATATTAAGGCTTCTTGATTTCAGAAACCACTTCTAGGCAAGTATGATCAATACAGCACATATTGTGATCGTTCACTGACGGAGTAAACGTTGACTGACCAGCGAGCATGCTGACCACAGACAGCAGGATCTTCTCTACGCTCTGCACGGGACTCCATCTCTCAGCACTGCTCTCATAGCCCATGGGGTCATCACCAGGAGCGTGCAGGATTGAGATACACACACGGCCATCTGGGTAGACTGCAGAAAACACACCAAACACACATTAAGCAATGTTTATAAAGTTCTGCAATAGTTCTGTTCATTTCTGTTTTCCTTTGTCATCTATCCTCTAGACATCTTTACAGTCTTCATTGCCGGTTGACTGAATACATTTGAATAAACTTTCAATTTGATTATATCAGCATTTTGTACACGACACTCTTTTATGTCGAGGTTGGAAATGAACAGGCTGGTTCAGTTCACTGCATTTAACTACTCTCCCAATTAGCTAAAAAGGCCAAAATTGGATTAAAAACAGTTGAATCAGCAATAACAAACATATGTTAGGATCCTTAAAGGATCAAAAGAACATACTGATTAATCTGCTAAATCAATTCATCAATTAAAGAGTTAGTTCCATGAGCACTGACCCGTGATTGGTTTCCCTTCTAAAGACGCTCAAAGCAATCAAGTAATACTTTGGAAGAGTGAGTGTAAGGGACACAAGTTTATTAACCCTGGACCAGGGCTGAATGAATCCACCCCCACATGGTTTCACGGCTGATGTTATCTCCTCATTCTCTCCACAGCTGAGGACAGTGATCAGAATCTGAGCCGTCCAGCTCTGATAACCGCCTCCAGAGCCCCGGCACCATCAGAGGACTGTAGGCTGGGCTGCTGCTATCTGTGGCCTGCAGGAAGACCTTTATCTGGGCCCACTTCCCTGAACACTGTGTCCACACATCCATCAGCGGGACCAGAGGAAATGCCCCGGCCATAAAGACACTTTAGGACTCCGATTCTTAGTCTACGCATAGTCTTATGTCGAAGGACTATAAATGCATTAGAAAAGTGTTCCTGCTCCAAGAGGCTTTTCTAACACCGCAAATCATAAAGCAGATTGTTTCGCCTGCACAGTGATTGTTAAATAGCCAATATATGCACAGGAAAGCTTATACAATATATTACATGTGAGATCTGTGATTGCATGTTTGTGCCCTACAACTAAAATAAAAACAATTATCAGTAATATTGTGATATAATATTAAAATTTTCATATTTAAAATAAAAGCTGGATTTTCAGCATTGTTACTCAAGTCTTCAGCGTCACATGATCCTTCAGAAATCATTCTAATATGCTGATTTGGTGATCAGGAAACATTTGTTATTATTAATGTTGAAAACTGTTTTTAGTATTTGTTGATGAATAGAATGCTGAAATGTATTATTATTTGATTATTATTATTTATTATACAGCATTTATTTTAAATAAATCTTTGTAAAAAATGTAAAAGCCTTCACTGTCACTTTTAATCAATTTAATAATAATAATTTTTATTTATATAGCGCCTTTCCAAATGTATCCTTAATTAATGTATCCTTGCTGAATGACAAGTATTAAAACGTATTTAGATTATATATACACACACACACACACACATATATATACATATCCAGGGTTAATAAACTTGTGTCCCTTACACTCACTCTTCCAAAGTATTACTTGATTGTATGTATATATATGTACAGTATCTCACTTTTTTTGTAACCTTGGCCAGTTCTGTGCCTTGCCACAATTCTGTCTCTGAGCTCTTCAGGCAGTTCCTTTGACCTCATGATTCTCATTTGCTCTGACATGCACTGTGAGCTGTAAGGTCTTATATAGACAGGTGTGTGGCTTTCCTAATCAAGTCCAATCAGTATAATCAAACACAGCTGGACTCAAATGAAGGTGTAGAACCATCTCAAGGATGATCAGAAAAATGGACAGCACCTGAGTTAAATATATGAGTGTCACACCATGTGATATTTCAGTTTTTCTTTTTTAATAAATCTGCAAAAATGTCAACAATTCTGTGTTTTTCTGTCAATATGGGGTGCTGTGTGTACATTATTGAGGGGAAAAAAATTTACTTACATGATTTTAGCAAATGGCTGCAATATAACAGAGTGAAAAATTTAAGGGCGTCTGAATACTTTCCGTACCCACTGTATATATAAAATATTAAAAATATATAGTGAAACGGCACTATCAATACATGCTGTAAGCAAAACATTATAAAATAAAGGCTGATGAAAACACTGTACAATGAACAATATCTGTTCTCCAATTACTATATTAATAATAATAATTTCTAAATAGGAATATTTTGCAATAAATAACTGCATCAAGAAACATTCAATTAAATTGATAAATCTAATTAATTAAAGTACATCATAGTGATCTAACATTCATGCATATTTATTTTTTGCTATTGCTATTATTTTTAATGATTGGTTGTATTATTTTTTTATGTAAAGCACTTTGAATGACCATTGTGTATGAAATGTGCTGTATTAAAGTCACTAAAGCTCACATACACTGTGTGAATGCTGTATGTGTGTAATACCCACTGTTCGGATGAAACATGTCACAGGTGAACTTCATCTTGGGAGGGCTGAGAGGGTAGTCTGAAGGGAAACTGAGGATGGCAGGGAACACACCGCCCTCAAAACATGTGTCCTCTGGTCCCCTAAAACAAGGAAAAATACCAAAAACATTACCATACAACATATTAAATCATTTTATGCATTGTTATGAATCTCTGTGCTGCAACAAAGAGCAAATAAAGAAACAAAGTAATAAAGCATTTCAGTAGTGACCTACAATCCCCCTAAGACGGGGCAATTAGTGGATGTCTGGATAAGCTATTGCTGTATTACCCACAAATCCTAAGCATTTAGCAGAGTTTTATTACAACATTTTTAAAGCACATTAAAGACTTACATCATGATTCACTCCAATCGGTTTTTCAGAATATAATAAAATCTTTAGCGTCAGGAATTAGATGAACCCACATGGGGGTTGCAGAGGAATTTTCTCAGACATGTAAATAACTTCTGCTCAAAGTATATACTGTACCTTGATTATACACAAACTTCAGTCTAACTGCAAATCTTTTGCTATTTATGAGAACCACTGATATATGAGGCCAGTTAAACCATTTACCGCCTTCAGCGTAACAACTAAAACTCAAAAACCCCCCTGTACACTTCATCTTAATCATAAAAACCACACAAAGTCATAAATCACAGAAATCCATCCACCACTGACAGCAGTGGCAGAACTTCATGGAATCATTTTCAAAGGCCCATTTAACATGCAAATCTCTTTCTGTTGACTTACCATATCCAGCGGTCAATCAAACACTGTTTCTATGGGCCGATATTGATCGGTAATCACGATGAGCAGCGCATCAAACGAACACACTTCCGTATCTGTGGAACAGCTGTCAGGGGGTTGCTAGGGACACTGTTCCTTATTTTGCTTGGCACTTGGTTTCACTTAAAAACTTATCGAGCAAAACCACTGATCAAACCACCAGTTTGGTTTACCGGAGGACAGTCTTATCCAAAATCAAAATCAGTGATCATCACTTAATGTCCCCTCTCTGGACAAATGCTAGTGAATGAACAGCTGTGCATGCTATGAATGAAAAGAGGCTCCAGGCAAAAAGGAATTCCAGAACTGTAAAAACTGACATAAAAAATGCCCCTGTAAAAAATCAGTCTTTTTTTTAATTAAAAAGGGTGTTCTATTCATATGTATAAGATAGCATAATATACAGGTTTCGTGTCTTTACAGATAATATTGTGACTTATATCAGTTATAATTGTTCATTATGGTGTCATTTCACAATTGAATTTGCAGCTATATTAAGATATATATAAATATAAAGAGAAAATGCAAGAAACTCTGAAACCACTCAAGTGCTATTACTTGCCTAAATAACAGGACATTTTCCCCTGGCAGACAACAAAATAAGAAAATCTCACTAAATATCACAAAAACCTTGAGTGGGCTCTTTACATACGGGACAGTACATAACCTAGAACACCCTAGCAACCCCACTGCATCACGTCAGCATTTGGGACTACTCATATTTTACTCAGAAATAGTTCAAATGTATTTTATAGTAGGGCTGCACGATAAATCGAAATGGAATCGAGATCGCAATTCGACAGAAGCTGCGATTGTCATGTGTATCTTTCAGTGAAGCACGGTTCTGTGATCAGCAGTAAATCTCCATCCAAAGGCCAGAGGGCGCTCTCGCGCTGAAACTCCAAATACGCCTCGCAGAAGAAACCCAGAAAATGCCTATTGCTGCAGCTGAATAAACAGAAGAACTGCTTTCATTGATTCAACCAACGTGACTAATAAACACACGACTACGGCAATATACGGTTTATCGGAGTTCTTCTTATTATAACTTTCATTAAAATAAAGTATATTTATAATGCAATGCCTTTATCACTGCTTAAATACTATGAAATGTGTTGCGTGTCTTATTCTGTGTAAGAAGCCACATCATCTCACAGAAGGATTTATTTCAAACACTCGACTGACATTATGAAGTGAGTTTGGAGTAAAAATACGTTATTAAATGTGGTATTTTCACATGCTTTCAGATGGAGCAGCATTTACTTCACAGAGCCTTAGTTCACTGAGAAGCTATGCAAACAGCTGTCATTATTGCGAACGATTTCTTCGATTTCATAATCGCGCAATAAAATCGTCTGTCAGTGAACTACGGCTCGGCGTAGTAAATTCTGCTCCATCTGAAAGCACGTGATGATGATTTCCTGCTGATCGCAGAACCGGCATTACTATCAAAATGCGCACGACATTCGATTAATCGTGCAGCCCTATTTTATAGTATCATTTTTATTTTTAGTATATTATTTAGTATAACATGTTATTATCTGTGTCCATTTTAGTATATATATATCTTTTTTTACATTATTATCTGTGTCCAATCTATACACAGATAAACTAAACTGAATAATAATTATAATAATAATAATAATAATAAAAGTTGTATTATTACCCTCCCTGCTGGGTCACACCAGACATGGCAGAGAAAAGCTGCTTGAACTGAATAATTTTAACATCAAGAAACACATTTTCTCACTCACATTGAGCTCTATTTTATGGAAGCTTGTTTCCGCCACATTAAAAAAAAAATGCAATTACCTTATTTAGACACTTTATACCTCTCACTGACTTTTTTGTTGCAATTCTGACGTTGTATATCATAATTCTGAGAACTGAAATATAAACTCAAAATAACTCTGAATGAAGTCAAAATCATGGGATTTTTTTTTTTATTCCTTAGTGGATAAAAAAAAACAGAACAGCGAGATGCAAATTGAGAATTTTGAGGAAAAAGTCATAATTGTGAGACACAAAAAGTCACAATTACCTAAAAAAGTCTGAATTGTGATACATAAACTCAGAATTGTCAGATACAAAAAATAAATAAAAATCTGAACTGTGATTTTTTTTTTTTTTAAATCTGCGGCTGAAACAAATCAAAAATAAATACATTAATAAATACATTAAAGGGGTCCTATTATGCTTTTTCACTTTTTCAACTTTAGTTAGTCGGTAATGTTGCTGTTTGAGCATAAAAAAAGATCTGCAAAGTTACAAAGCTCAAAGTTCAATTCAAAAGGAGATATTTTATTTAACAGAAATCACTTTTCAAAAACTACAACGAACGACTCGTTTGGACTACAACGCACATTTTCCAGGATTTGTGATATCGCCGAATGGGACGAGACCTGACTGAGCTGCACTAGAGAAGGCAACGAGGGTTATCACTATGTTGTAGACACGCTAGCTTTCCCAAGGCAGATGAAAGTAGAGTGGTTACAATCATCTGATTGTGCCAATCACAGCACACACTGGCCCAGCTAACCAATCACAGCACATTTCGTATTTCAGAAGGCGGGCCTTCATTTGATACAGGAACTATTCGAGCCGTTCATGCCAGACTGGGGAGAGAGGTGTTGTAATAATGTAAAACATGAAAAATAATGTGTTTTTCGAACAACCTAGTATGAGAGCCTGTTCTAGTACACCCCCAAAACAAAATCAAGACTTTGTAAAAGAGCATAATAGGACCCCTTTAAAATAAATAAAACAGAAAACAGAATTGTGCAATGAAAACTGAATTCACAGGGGGGAAAAAGTTAGAACTGTGAGATGTAAACTCAGAATTCAGACTTTTTGCAAGAAAAAAAAATCTCAATTATGAGATAAAAAAAGTCACATTTGCCTTATTTATTAATTCCTTGATTAATTTATTAAATCTTGTGGCGGAAATCCGAATCAAAGAAGAGAAAAAACACGAAACAAAATCTTCTTTACAGTCTACGGATAATACTTACATAATCAGAGCCTCCCATTCAAAGAAATTTTCTTCATTTGCAGGCCCTGTAGGGAAGAAACGAGTCTCATTAATTCACTATCTTACTATAAAAATAAATCTGTTCATCTATTATACAGATACAAATGATTTAAGTACAAATCTGATTAAGAATCTACTGTAAAAGCAGGACAATGGAGCAGTTCAGTAAGTGTCCTCATTCTTACCTGCTACAATCCCCTCTGGAGGGTTCAGGGTCAGTTCTGGAAAGAAAGAAATGCGTTGAGCTAACTCTGTATCCATATAATTATGTTCAACAGGAAATATACAGAAGAAAAGACGAGCATTATCACACACTTCCCTGCAGTGGCAGCACTAGAGTAACTTACAGTACGCCAGTAACGTAGAGAAATGAAGTATGAAGGTGAATTGGGAGTTACACGGTGTTTGAGGTTACTTAAGGAGGTTACTGTTCATTTATTAACTGGACCCATTTTAATGATGCATGCTGTCAGCATATGCTGGTGAAGTTCTGGAAGTATCTCCAGCTGCCAAAACAGTGTAAACCCCACCCTTCACAAGCACCAGCACTGCGCTACACTAGTGTTATCAATTATCAATGACATGACTTACGTTTGTACTCAGCCATGAGTCTTTTTAAAGCTGTTCCAGCCATTTTACAGCCCGGGCTGGCTTCTAGAAAGAAGTTGTTTTGGCACGAAGGGTGGCGACGACTGACACGATGAGAAATCTTGTTCTTCCGGGACAAAAGCGAGCAAAGAATGTCGCGCGCAGGAGATTTTCCACTCGACCTTTACTTCCGCAATCCGCCTGACGTCACGTGGCCCTTTGTTCCCCCCCGTTTTTTCCTTTTCACTCAAACTGATATTTCAAGACTTAAAGCAGCTGGGAAAGGAAACGCCCTAAAACTCTCTAAATTACTCGTGCAATATATATTGAATACGTTAACTGTATGCAATATTTCTAATTTGTACTAATTTTGTATTCATTTTTAAAATATGTATTTATTTATTTACTTCTGTTTCCCTTTTCTCTCATTATGTATGCTGTTTGAATTTGTGTTTGTGTGTGTATTGATTAAATATATTTATTTAATATTAATAAAGAGTTTATTTAATATTCAACATGTGTACTTACTGTATTTAGTAGCTCATTCGTTCTTTTTTTTATTTTTTTATATGTATATATTTATTTATTTAACTTTTCTCTCTTTATGTAGGCTATGCTGCTTGAATTCATTGTGTTTAACAGTTATAATGCCTGTTTATTATTTAAAGGAGTTTAATATATATTTTTAATTCAACATTATTATTGTTCGGTTTATTTCGCTTCAAAAAATCTATTATTATTATTTTAGTTCATTCTTTAAAGCAGCTGAAAAAGGGATGCCCTAATACGCTCTAAATTATCTGCACAATATATATTGAATCAATAACTGTATTTAATATTTATCATTTGTAATAATTTAATAATTTTGCATACCTTTTTTAAATATTTATTTATATTTCTCTCTTTATGCATGCTATTTGAAAGCGTTTAATACAGGTTTTTTTAAGTTCAACTTTATTTTTGTAATGTTAAATAAAAATAAATAAAGTGCACTTGCACTTGGTTTCGTACTAGAGTGGAACGGCTTTAGCCCACCTATAGACGCAGAAAGAGCCACAGTGACCTCTAGCGGAAGCGTCGGAGAAGTGCGATTCTGTTTCAATGGCAACCATCACAGAGTTGAAAAGCGGTGAGCTAATACTCATAAACTGTCATAATGCATCATATCGTTGCGCCAACGTTATGATTATTTTGCGTGTTTGTTTAATAACAAATCTTCAGTCATAAGGTTTGTTATTAATGTTGTTAGATGTTTAAACGTAACGTTAACCCTCAAATCTCTCCACTGGCTTGAACTGATGGTAAAACTAATGACATTATTTACCGTCTTTACATTTATTTTGAAAGATGAAGCTCGCGATTATGGTAAGGGGCGTTACATTTCCGACGAGTGCTTGCTGTGTTCGGCCAATCACAATGCACTGGGTCAGCTGGCCAATCAGAGCAGACTGCGGGACTTTGTAGAAAACGAAGCGTTTGAGAGAGACGGGGCATAGAGGACCTACAATAATGTACAGTATTTGAAAAATAATGTGTTTTTTTGAACATTAAAGCATGTCAACGTATTCTGTTACACCAAATAATGATCTTTATAAAAGCATCATATGACCCCTTTAATAATTCACACTGTCAGCATATGTTGGTGAAGTTCTGGAAGTATCTACAGCTGCCAAACTGTTGCTACCAAAAGAGTGTAAAATCCACCGTTCACAAGCACCAGCACTGCACGGCATTAGTGTAATCAAAGACATGACTTACGTTTGTATTCAGCCATGAGTCTTTTTAAAGCTGTTCCAGCCATTTTACAGCCCGGGCTGGCTTCTAGAAAGAAGTTGTTTTGGCACGAAGGGTGGCGACGACTGACACGATGAGAAATCTTGTTCTTCCGGGACAAAAGCGAGCAAAGAATGTCGCGCGCAGGAGATTTTCCACTCGACCTTTACTTCCGCAATCCGCCTGACGTCACGTGGCCCTTTGTTCCCCCCCGTTTTTTCCTTTTCACTCAAACTGATATTTCAAGACTTAAAGCAGCTGGGAAAGGAAACGCCCTAAAACTCTCTAAATTACTCGTGCAATATATATTGAATACGTTAACTGTATGCAATATTTCTAATTTGTAATAATTTTGTATTCATTTTTAAAATATGTATTTATTTATTTACTTCTGTTTCCCTTTTCTCTCATTATGTATGTTGTTTGAATTTGTGTTTGTGTGTGTATTGATTAAATATATTTATTTAATATTAATAAAGAGTTTATTTAATATTCAACATGTGTACTTACTGTATTTAGTAGCTCATTCATTCTTATTCTTTTTTTTTTAAAATATGTATATATTTATTTATTTAACTTTTCTCTCTTTATGTAGGCTATGCTGCTTGAATTCATTGTGTTTAACAGTTATAATGCCTGTTTATTATTTAAAGGAGTTTAATATATATTTTTTAATTCAACATTATTATTGTTCAATTTAAAAAAATTAATTATTATTATTTTAGTTCATTCTTTAAAGCAGCTGAAAAAGGGATGCCCAAATACGCTCTAAATTATTTGCACAATAAATATTGAATAAATATATGTTAACTGTATTTAATATTTATCATTTGTAATAATTTAATAATTTTGCATACCTTTTTAAAATATTTATTTATATTTCTCTCTTTATGCATGCTATTTGAAAGCGTTTAATACGGGTTTTTTTAAGTTCAACTTTATTTTTGTAATGTTAAATAAAAATAAATAAAGTGCACTTGCACTTGGTTTCGTACTAGAGTGGAACGGCTTTAGCCCACCTATAGACGCAGAAAGAGCCACAGTGACCTCTAGCGGAAACGTCGGAGAAGTGCGATTCTGTTTCAATGGCAACCATCACAGAGTTGAAAAGCGGTGAGCTAATACTCATAAACTGTCATAATGCATCATATCGTTGCGCCAACGTTATGATTATTTTGCGTGTTTGTTTAATAACAAATCTTCAGTCATAAGGTTTGTTATTAATGTTGTTAGATGTTTAAACGTAACGTTAACCCTCAAATCTCTCCACTGTTGTGTAGGCTATAAGCTATGCAAGTTAGCTCAACTCACTTTCTGTCTCTGGCTTTTAAAGGGATAGTTCATCCAAAAATGAAGATTCTGTCATCATTTACTCACCCTCATGTCGTTCTCGGCCAATCACAATGCACTGGGTCAGCTGGCCAATCAGAGCAGACTGCGGGACTTTGTAGAAAACGAAGCGTTTGAGAGAGACGGGGCATAGAGGACCTACAATAATGTACAGTATTTGAAAAATAATGTGTTTTTTTGAACATTAAAGCATGTCAACGTATTCTGTTACACCAAATAATGATCTTTATAAAAGCATCATATGACCCCTTTAATAATTCACACTGTCAGCATATGTTGGTGAAGTTCTGGAAGTATCTACAGCTGCCAAACTGTTGCTACCAAAAGAGTGTAAAATCCACCGTTCACAAGCACCAGCACTGCACGGCATTAGTGTAATCAAAGACATGACTTACGTTTGTATTCAGCCATGAGTCTTTTTAAAGCTGTTCCAGCCATTTTACAGCCCGGGCTGGCTTCTAGAAAGAAGTTGTTTTGGCACGAAGGGTGGCGACGACTGACACGATGAGAAATCTTGTTCTTCCGGGACAAAAGCGAGCAAAGAATGTCGCGCGCAGGAGATTTTCCACTCGACCTTTACTTCCGCAATCCGCCTGACGTCACGTGGCCCTTTGTTCCCCCCCGTTTTTTCCTTTTCACTCAAACTGATATTTCAAGACTTAAAGCAGCTGGGAAAGGAAACGCCCTAAAACTCTCTAAATTACTCGTGCAATATATATTGAATACGTTAACTGTATGCAATATTTCTAATTTGTACTAATTTTGTATTCATTTTTAAAATATGTATTTATTTATTTACTTCTGTTTCCCTTTTCTCTCATTATGTATGCTGTTTGAATTTGTGTTTGTGTGTGTATTGATTAAATATATTTATTTAATATTAATAAAGAGTTTATTTAATATTCAACATGTGTACTTACTGTATTTAGTAGCTCATTCGTTCTTTTTTTTATTTTTTTATATGTATATATTTATTTATTTAACTTTTCTCTCTTTATGTAGGCTATGCTGCTTGAATTCATTGTGTTTAACAGTTATAATGCCTGTTTATTATTTAAAGGAGTTTAATATATATTTTTAATTCAACATTATTATTGTTCGGTTTATTTCGCTTCAAAAAATCTATTATTATTATTTTAGTTCATTCTTTAAAGCAGCTGAAAAAGGGATGCCCTAATACGCTCTAAATTATCTGCACAATATATATTGAATCAATAACTGTATTTAATATTTATCATTTGTAATAATTTAATAATTTTGCATACCTTTTTTAAATATTTATTTATATTTCTCTCTTTATGCATGCTATTTGAAAGCGTTTAATACAGGTTTTTTTAAGTTCAACTTTATTTTTGTAATGTTAAATAAAAATAAATAAAGTGCACTTGCACTTGGTTTCGTACTAGAGTGGAACGGCTTTAGCCCACCTATAGACGCAGAAAGAGCCACAGTGACCTCTAGCGGAAGCGTCGGAGAAGTGCGATTCTGTTTCAATGGCAACCATCACAGAGTTGAAAAGCGGTGAGCTAATACTCATAAACTGTCATAATGCATCATATCGTTGCGCCAACGTTATGATTATTTTGCGTGTTTGTTTAATAACAAATCTTCAGTCATAAGGTTTGTTATTAATGTTGTTAGATGTTTAAACGTAACGTTAACCCTCAAATCTCTCCACTGTTGTGTAGGCTATAAGCTATGCAAGTTAGCTCAACTCACTTTCTGTCTCTGGCTTTTAAAGGGATAGTTCATCCAAAATTTATTTAACAGAAATCACTTTTCAACCCTCATGTCGTTCCAAACCTGTATGAGTTGCTTTCTTATGTTGAACACAAAAGAAGATATTTTGAAGATTGCTGGTAATCAAACAGTTGGTGGTTGCCATTGACTTCCATAGTAGGAAAAAAATACTATGGAAGTCAATGGGGACCACCAACTGTTTGATTGTGTTCAACATAAGAAAGCAACTCATACAGGTTTGGAACGACATGAGGGTGAGTAAATGATGACAGAATTTTCATTTTTGGGTGAACTATCCCTTTAAATGCATGATCTGTAGCTTTGCGAGAGACGCTGGAGGCCCGTGGGGTCCTGGGGCAGCTGAAGGCGAGGATCCGGGCTGAGGTGTTCAGCGCGCTGGACGATGAGAGCACGCCGCGGCCGCCGCTGTCCCACGAGAACCTGCTCATCAATGAACTGATCCGAGAATACCTGCAGTTCAACAAGTATCAATATACCGCCTCGGTGCTGACCGCAGGTGAGCAGATGAGGCCTGCAGGAGGACCATACGCACGGTCACTCAGTCTTAGCTCTCGATTGCACCTCACAACTGAACACACATTCAAAAAACAAACTTAAATTGAAAAAAACTATGTATCTCAGAATCAGGTCAGCCTGAAGTTCCCCTAGATCGGGAGTTCGTGGCCAGTGAGCTCAATGTCACAGAAGATTCGAGTGCCAAAGCAGTGTAAGTATGATTTGTAAGTAAAACTTTTATAGAGCACCTTTTTAAAAAGTGTTTACAACGTGCATAATAGAAGACACTGAACATTTATGTACAATACAAGGCACAACAATAAATATGGTCCAGGGTCACTGTGAGGGAACTAACACTTAACCTAATATACTATATCAAATATACTAACAATTATATTATATTGTATTGTATTATATGTGACCCTGGATCACAAACCAAGTCATAAGGGTCAGTTTTTTTTTAAAATTGAGATTCATACATCATATGAAAGCTGAATAAATAAGCTTTCCATTAATGTATGGTTTGTTATGATAGAACAATATTGGGCCGAGATACAACATAGATATAATATTTGAAAATCTGGAATCTGAGGGTGCAAAAAAATCGGAATATTGAGAAAATCGTCTTTAAAGTTGTCCAAAGGAAGTTCTTAGCAATGCATATTACTAATCAAAAATTAAGTTTTCTAGAATTACGGTTGGAAATTTACAAAATATCTTCATGGAACATGATCTTTACTTAATATCCTAATGATTTTTGGCATAAAAGAAAAATCGATAATTTTGTCCCATACCATGTTGGCTATTGCTACAAATATACCTGTGCTACTTATGACTGGATTTGTGGTCCAGGGTCACATATTATTATTCACATATATTATTATTATTATTATATTATATTATGAATATAATATGTGTAATTCAAATAATACATGCATAACATTTTAAATGTAAATATTACATAATTTCATATTTAGCAATGATTACTATCATTTTTCAATATGATAGATTTTTCAAGTGTTGTGTAGCTGTAAAAGAGTAATGTTATAAATGTAGCAGTATAAACTATTTGTTGTTATTTTAATATTTGTATTAATTTATTTTATTTTTCAAGTAAATGTTATTTTATTTTTAAAAATCCTGCAAAAAAAAAAGGTATCTAATATTTGGTGGTGGGGCCAGTAAAAATGTTGGCAAGTCAAATGAATTAGAAGGATTTAAAAATTGTTCAGCTGTGACATAAACAAACAAACAAACAAACACACACATGCATAGGGAAGAAGAAAAAAATAGAGATTAAATAGAAATTAAAAATGAATAAGAAAATAAAATGCATAAAAAGTAACTGGAAAGAAGAAAATTCAATTACGGAAAAGCACTACTAAACAAGAGTGCAATTAGTGTGATACTTTCTCAAAGTGTTAATTTGAGTCAACTGCTCGTAGGCTGTCTGGCTGAGAGATATACAGCTTGGGTCCATAAGTGATTTAGAGCTGACTTGTTACTTTCAGCCTCACTTTAACTACAACCAGCAAGGAATGTTGATGCAATACCATAAAGACATTAAAAATGTAATAAAAGGGTCTTAAATCCATTCTGTGAGACACAAGTAGACAGTGAAGTGATTTAAGTGCTGAATGTGATTCCTCGGTCTAGTACAAAGAAGCATTCTTTCTGCTGCATTCGTAACTCATTGTAAGTGTTTGATAGAACACTACTCCAATAGTCGAGTCTAGATGTAACTACTACATGAATGAGTTTCTTGCTCATTGCATTATCTATTCTAAACCTCTGTTCATTGCATATTAAAAGAACAGTTCAACCAAAAAACAACAATCTGTCATCGTTTACTCAGCTTTGACCATTTTTTAATTGTCAAACATAAAAAGAGATATTTGGAAGAATGTCCAAGAAGCTCTTTTGACCAGGGGCTTTCAAGCTTGATTTTTGGTTAACCATTCCTTTATTCTTTTTGTATTGCTCTGTCTTGCTGTTTTAGGCCATTGTTGTATGGATTGCTCCATCATTTCCTTAGCAGTAAGGAAGAGCACAAAGGAAAACTCTTCCTAAGAGGCTCAGCAACAGTGCCTTCACAAGAACCTCGTGGCCATCGTAATGCAGAGTCATAAAACTGAGGTAAGAGAGGGCTTGAGTTTGACTTTGTTTTCACATATTGATTTAATGTGAAGATTAACAAGTGTAATTTTTAGTTTCATAAGCCTGAGAAACGTTGCATCCCATTCAGCTGTTTCTGTTGTTTCCAGCTCCGCAGTCATCAAGAACCAACACACAAGAGGAAGTCATATGATCACAATTAAAATAATTTGCCATTAAAGAGGCCAAAATATTCTGTCCAGCTTACTCCGGTTGTAGATGTTGAATGTATTATATTTTTGACTTTTAGTAATAGTTTTATGAATAAAACCATTGTGATTGATTGTTCAGTTTAGCTTCTCAGCTGTACAAACAATGCAGCATTTTGCAATATATTCGTATTCCTCATATATTAAATTTAATTTGACATCCAGTTAACTGATTTTGAATCTGATGTTTGTTATACACAATATTAAATTGACTTTTGCTGTAAAATAACAGCAGCCTTATTTTTTTGTACACCCATTTTTTATTGTTTTTGTTCTATTTTTAACTAATATCAACAATGATGAAGCATGTAAATTGTGGTAATTTATGCAGTCTGAATTGAAAACGTTAAAGGAACACTCCACTATTTTTGAAAATAGGCTCATTTTCCAACTCCCCTAGAGTTAAACAGTTGAGTTTTACCGTTTTCGAATCCATTCAGCCGATCTCCGGGTCTGGCGGTAGCACTTTTAGCTGTAGCTTAGCATAGATCATTGAATCTGATTAGACCGTTAGCATCTCGCTCAAAAATGACCAAAGAGTTTCTATATTTTTCCTATTTAAAACCTGACTCTTCTGTAGTTACATCGTGCACTACGACGATGAAAAGTTGTGATTTTCTAGGCCGATATGGCTAGGAACTATACTCTCATTCCGGTATGAATAAAACCATTGTGATTGATTGTTCAGTTTAGCTTCTCAGCTGTACAAACAATGCAGCATTTTGCAATATATTCGTATTCCTCATATATTAAATTTAATTTGACATCCAGTTAACTGATTTTGAATCTGATGTTTGTTATACACAATATTAAATTGACTTTTGCTGTAAAATAACAGCAGCCTTATTTTTTTGTACACCCATTTTTTATTGTTTTTGTTCTATTTTTAACTAATATCAACAATGATGAAGCATGTAAATTGTGGTAATTTATGCAGTCTGAATTGAAAACGTTAAAGGAACACTCCACTATTTTTGAAAATAGGCTCATTTTCCAACTCCCCTAGAGTTAAACAGTTGAGTTTTACCGTTTTCGAATCCATTCAGCCGATCTCCGGGTCTGGCGGTAGCACTTTTAGCTGTAGCTTAGCATAGATCATTGAATCTGATTAGACCGTTAGCATCTCGCTCAAAAATGACCAAAGAGTTTCTATATTTTTCCTATTTAAAACCTGACTCTTCTGTAGTTACATCGTGCACTACGACGATGAAAAGTTGTGTGTTTCTAGGCCGATATGGCTAGGAACTATACTCTCATTCCGGCATAATAATCAAGGAACTTTGCTGCCGTACCATGGGTGCAGCAGGCGCAATGGTATTACGCAGCGCCTGAAAATAGTCCCCAGCTAGGTATCTTCTAAACTAAGCCTATTTTCGGGAAGTCGTGGCCTAATGGTTAGAGAGTCGTAACCCAAGGTTGCAGGTTCGAGTCTCGAGCAGGGATTGTAGGTGGGGGGAGTGAATGTACAGCGCTCTCTCCCACCTTCAATACCACGACTGAGGTGCCTTTGAGCAAGGCACCGAACCCCCAACTGCTCCCCGGGCGCAGAAGCATAAAAGGCTGCCCACTGCTCCGGGTGTGTGTTCACGGTGTGTGTGTGTTCACTGCTGTGTGTGTGCACTTTGGATAGGATAAATGCAGAGCACTAATTCCGAGTATGGGTCACCATACTTGGCCACATGTCACGTCACTTTAAAACTTTTCAGGCGCTGCATAATATCATTGCGCCTTGCTGCACCCATGGTGTGCAAATAGTGGAGTGTTCCTTTAAACATATTTTAAGATAAGTGCTTTTATTGTTCATTTTAAATGGCACAATTTCCAAAACAAGCCTGGATTGTTGGCTAGCTTCTAAAATGAGTCTTCCTGGTCCTTGAACTTTGAATTTGGAACATTCTTTCTTTTGATTGGTTTTCATCCTTCACTTTCTTATCATCTTGCCAAAGCCAGCCTGTCTAGAAATGACATTTGAACTACTGTTTCTTACTTAAGCTGTTCTCACTTCCAACTTCAAACTGTATAATAATGAATTCATACAGAAGAATAAGACATGTTATAATCATTCTTTCTTTAATTTCTTAAGTGCTTCTCATTGAGAATCTCAGTTGTGTCATTATATGTTTGGTTTTCTTTCACCTTAAAGCAGCAAAGCTCACAAACACTGTAAACCTCATCCATTGCCAAGTTCTTCAAATGTCCTAATTTTCCTTAAAAGGTAAGTCACTTCATACTCACTCAATACTTCATTTGATTTGTTTAGCTTTTCGCTCTCAATATTATCACAGATCAAGGGTAATAAAGCAGTTTGTTGAAAGGTTGATGTTGAAGTTTTCCCAGAGCATTATCAGGAAATATTTTCTTTTAGTAAAAGGTTATCATCTACAGATAGAACATGTGAAACAATTTGAATAAATATGAGCAGACAAATATTTGCTTGCTCTCCTGCTGCTAAGCTGGAACCACGTTCCACCGAGGACAAATATATCCAAACATATATGTGACACTGGGGCACAAAAGCAGTCTTAAGTCGCTGGGGTATATTTGTAGCATTAGCCAAAAATACATTGTATGGGTCGAAATTACTGATTTTTCTTTTATGCCAAAAATCATTAGGATATTAAGTAAAGATCATGTTCCATAAAGATATTTTGCTACTGTAAATGTATCAAAACATAATTTTTGATTAGTAATATGCATTGCTAAGAACTTCATTTGGACAACTTTAAAGGCGATTTTCTCAGTATTTAGATTTTTTGAGTCTTGCACCCTCAGATTCCAGATTTTCAAATAGTTGTATCTCGGCCAAATATTGTCATATCCTAACAAACCATACATCAATGGAAAGCTTATTTATTCAGCTTTGAGATGATGTATACATCTCAATTTAAGAAAATTGACCCTTATGACTGGTTTTGTGGTTCAGGGTCACATATGACCCTCTAAAATAGTGTGTACTTATGCATGTACTCAGGATTTTTATGAGAACTGAATGTGCACATAGATAAATTATAGATAACAAACACTTTGTTCTTCTTTAGTAATGTTTTAACTCAGTATACATGTAATTTCCTGTTTTTGAATGTCCATGACTAAGTAAAGCCACAGCAAAATTGCTGTGCTTGTGACACTGTAAGTGGATTCATATGCACCTTGTAGTGAGATTTTGTCTAGTAAGGTGATGATGTTCTTTTACTAATGTAGGCAAATCTTAATGCACCAGTTACTCTGAACGGCTTCAGTACACTACAAATTAGTTTTTGGATGAGTCTCAGGAGACTATCTACCCCGAACAGCCTGTGCTTCACTCGGCTTTAATCTAGCACATATTTCCCATTCCCTCCTTCTGTTCTCCTTCAGACACACTGTCAGGACTAATTCCCGAGATACTGCTCTTCCACTAAGAGAACAACTAAGTATTCAGACATAGGACTTTGCTTTGAAGCCAAACTCAGGTCCAAATAGGAGTATTATAATTCCTTTATTACATTTGATTGTTTTTCACTTACTGAAAATAAAGAACGGTTCACCCAGAACTAAAAAGGGATGTTTACCAGACTATTGTCACTGAATTATTCTGTGCATTGAAAGTCAATGGTGTACAAAAAATAAAAAGACCATAAGACTTTCATTTCAAGTCACATGGACTATTTTTATGGTTTTATGGACAGTTTTGTCATTTAATCACTTTCGTTGTACAGAAAAAAGCAGCTTGTGCATATATCAAAATATCTTCTTTTGTTGTCAAATAATGCCATAAATTTTATTTTGATAAAAGAAAAAGTTGCAATGCAATGCACACAATAAATAATATGTCCTTAAAAAGTTATAATCACATGTGATGGATATGAACTTCTGTGAATAGGTTTCACTTGCAAAAACCATAAATAAATAAAAAAAATTGCATATAATGTGATGTTAAGCCATTTACAGTTCTTCGCTGTATAAACGGACAGAAATTGGTATAGGATTTACTTTAAAACAGTTATCACTTTTCATTATTTCACAAATTTTGAAGTAGAAAGAGTGAAATTCTATTTTCTTGTGTCATTATTTACATCTTTGATTTTTTTACAGTGTATAAGGTAATTTACAGTTACCAATTAACAGGCGTTTTACTGTTTTTATGTAATATTATAAACACTTTTAGAGTGCATGATGATAAAAAGGTGCACTGCTTATTTGCAAGACATTTTAGTAAAAAATATAACATCATCATTTTTATTATGATCACAAGTTCAGACAAGATTTGATATAGCCTGTCAACTGTGTTCAGTATTAGTGTCTCTGTCTATACAAACTACAAAATTCTCTATAGTACGAAGTAGCAAACTATTAAACAAATATTTATGTTCCTATTTCTACAGCACCATACAGCATGTGCAGGTGCAATACCTCACATTCCTTAATTGGTGTTAGTCTTTGCCGGAATGAAAGTCTGCAGCTATTTCGAAGTTTATTGTTGGTGAGTAAACAGTCGAAAGATATCCCAATGAATGCCTATATGTCTTAACAATGACACTGCTGTTGCACCATATTTAGTCACTCGGTCCAAGTCTTTCGGTGTTCCCTTCTAAACACAGAATACAGCCGAGATTCCAGGCAGACCCCATTGTCCTTATATGGCACAACAGAGACCCGGTTAGGCCGTGCATCTCTGCCTCTCTCTCGCAACCTCTCACTTTCACTCTCACTGTACACCCCCATCCTCCATCCGCCTCCAAGACACTCTCTACCTCCCTTCCTTCCCTTTCGCACATCCAGGAGAGCTTGATGCTGACCAGTGACAGAGGCGCTTCTTTCCTTGCAGGCTTTGTTTTCTCCCCATCTCTCTTTTGGACCGCAGCAAGGCCTCAGAACATACCAGCTACGGTCCTGTTCCCTGGAAACATCACAGACTTGATTTACGGAATGCAATCGGAGGTTGTCCTTATATAGGAAGTTCCATTAGATAGCAGGAGCCCGTTGTGGGAATGGAGGGGACGGAATGTGATGTGCGTAACGATAAGGGTCCCAAAAAGGATCTCAGGGGATTCGCCTCGTCCAGATGTAGTGTATGGCATGTAGTCTAGGGGATCTCCCTTTGCTCGCTTGGGCTCTTTCTGTTTCTTTCCTCTGTTCTGCGTATTCCTTGATATTCCTAGTTCCCGTTCACTTTCACTG